TGCCTCTGTCAGAAAGGGGCAGCGGGGGGAAGGGGAAAGACGGGGTATTTTAAAGTGGCAGTGCCGCATAGCCCATATCAGGACTCCGTGCAGTGCTGCCGCTTTGAAACGCCGCCTTGGCATTTCAGAGCAGCAGAGCTGCACAGCTGAGCTTGGGCTCTGTGCGGCACTGCCCCTTTGAAATGCCGCCGTGGTGTTTCAAAGGGGCAGCACTGCATGGAGCCCGGGGTCAGCTCTATGTGTTGGGGCAGTGCCACACAGCTGATCCTGGGCTCGGCTGTGCAGCTCTGCCTCTTTGAAATGCCGCCACACCGTTTCAAAGCAGCAGCACCGCGTGGAGCCCAGGCGGTCAGCTGGCATTAAGGAAGACAACGGGAGAGTTTGTTTCTGTCGGTCTCCCTCTGTGAAGACAGCACCAAGCTGGGCTTAAATCAAGCAGCTACATATTTTATATAGCTAGAATTGCATACCTTAACCCGGCCTTCCAGGTGTATTATAGACCTGGCCTTACCTTCACGGCAGGGGGCTGGTAGTGTGGGGGGTACAGGAGTCAGGGCAGAGCTTGGGGGATATGACAGGGACAGGGCAGGAGGCTGAGGACATAGGAGGTACAAAAATCAGGGTTGGGGGTTGAGGAGGGGCTCAGGACAGAAAATCGATGTGGTGTAGGGCTTTCCTCTTTTTCTCCAGACTCTCCCGGCCAGAGGGGCCTTCCTCCCCCCCCACCAGCTCTCTGGGCCTTTTCCTCCAGGCTGCTTCCAGCCCATGGGGTCTCCTTCTCCATCCCCCAACCAGAGAGGCCATTTCTTTCTCCTCCCTGTCCCCCCCAGGCAACAGGCCAACAGAGCCTTCCCTCCCCAGCGTTGGGGTCTTCTCCCTTCCTTCGGCCTCCTCCCCCAGTTTGCAGGGGTTTCTCCCCCTCCACCAGCCCTCGCATCCTGGAGGGCCTTTTTCTCTTCACCTCCAATCCCCTCAGCTCTCAGGACCTTTTCTCCCCTCCCCAGTTCTCCCTCCTCCCCCACGACTGGCATGGTCTTTTCTCCCCTATTCAGCCCATTCCAGCTGGCAGAGGTCTTTTTCCCCCCTCTCCCAGTGCCTCCAAGCCAACACGGGGCCTTCTCTCCATCCCACCTTGGGGTAATGCATCCAAGGGCTGGTATGGGGGAAGGGTTTGGGACGTTGGGCTACTTACCCAACCTGATGGTAAGAAAGATGGTAAGCCCCAGCCCTACTGGCCACTCTTGTTGGTGCTGCTTTCCCCCCCTCCCCAGTTCACTCTGGAATATAGGTCTCCCTTGTGCTCACTGCCCCCCGTGGCCACTCTCAATATCACATCTCTCCTTCCTGTGCCCCTTCCCTTTCCATGTTATGGAAAACAGCCCCATTCCCAGCACTTTCTGTTTTCCTGCCATAACCAAACCCTGACATTGCTTTAAGTTGTGGTAAGAGAAAGCTGTATACCAAATTTGCTCTTTATCGTTTAGGAGTTATTGAACAAACAGACTCAGACGGACAGACAAACATTTCTAAAATATATAGATAGGCGCATTGGATGTTGTATTGCAAAAAAAAAAAAAAAAAAAAAATGATGATACTGGTATTTATACCATCCCAAAACTAACAGGTGCAGAATCCCGGGTATTACTGCACTTGTTCATCATATTGCAGGTTTGTTTTTTTTAAATCCAAAGGCTGTTCAGTACAGTCACCTATCTCGATACAGATCTTATTCTTTGGTTTTTTCTGAAACAGAATCTACTGCATTTTCACAGGAAAAAGGCTTTTATTTTATAAATCAGAAGAAATAAAAATGTTCCACCCCTCTATGGGGGAGAGAGGTGGGAATAGGAGATAACTAAGGCTACATCTGGACTGCAGCTCTTATCCTGGATACCGGAAGTATACCAGAAAAGCTATGCCACATCTAAGGAATATGTCTGCTTTTTTTGGAAATATTTCCGAAAAAGAGAACGTGTTCTTTTGCTGTCTCTGTAAACCTCGTTTCATGATGAAGAAGGGATGGCCTGAAAGAGAAGGTTTTTCCAAAATTTGACACTGTGTAGATGCTCCAAATTTCGGAAAAGCCTCTTTTGAAAGAAAAGCGGAAAAAGATACGCAAATTGCAATTGGCAATTTGCATATCTTTTTCTCGCTTTCCTTTGTAGTGTAGACATAGCCTAAATGTTAAACTTTCTGTTTATTTCAGTTCTACTGAAACTTCATAGCAAGAAGTCATACTCAGTGGGCTTATCTTTGTCTACCATTTCAAATCAACTTTCTCTTCTGCCTGTACCTTACACAAAAGAACAAATACGAGAAGATAAACTTGGACTCTGCCAGTGTTGCAGTGCAGTAGTGGATTTTGCTAAACCTTTTGTGGATCAAGTTGTTAAAAATATGGACGCTTCAACAGAAAGTGATGGCAAAGAGCTCAAACAAGAATTGCTAAAATTGTGAGTATCTTATTTCTGCTTAAAATGCATGTGTAAAGAAATACAATGAGCAATAGAGACTGCATGCACCAGCAGTGAATACACTTATTATTTTACTGTTTATCAAATAAACTGTTTAACAAATCCTTTACAAAACAAACCCACTGCTCCTTGTTTCCCACCCCCCCTTTTTTTTTCCTGTCCCCCATTTATTTTGCATCTGCACATCCTAAATTCAAAACTCCGGTCATCTGAAGAAGTTGGCTTGCCCACAAAAGCTCATGATACCATCTACGTGTTTTGTTAGTCTATAAAGTGCTACCAGACCATTTGTTGTTAAGTTTATCCTTTCATGTTTGTGGACTATGAGAGGAAGGGCAATGCTCATTCCTTTTCTTAATAGCAGGAGGGAACCTGTATGTGGGGTGGGAAGCCCAGCCAATGGCCCCTACTTCTTGTTGTTCGTCCATCGTATTCGAAGAGGACCTTGACATCTAACGGGTTATGGACTGTTCATGGTGTGTCCGCAAATGGCTGATAAGGCCGATACGGGCACGGAATGTTCTACCACAGGTCGGGCAGACGTGTGGGCACCACTGTTGCAGCTTTTGCAACTCTGGCTTTACGGAGTGCTCGCTTCTCTTGTGCTATGGTTGTCCTTCTGGCTTCAGATGTTTGACAGCCTTGGTAGATCAGCGTGTGCCATGTTGATCGGTCTTGTGCCAGGGTCTCCCAGGAGGTGGTGTCAATATCCAGGGACTTGAGAGAGGCTTTAAGCGTATCTTTGTATCGCTTCTTTTGTCCCCCGTGCGATCGCTTCCCTTGAAACAGCTCACCATAGAAGAGCTGTTTAGGGATGCGATGATCTGGCATCCTTGCAACATGGCCTGCCCAGCGTGTCTGAGCTTTCATCAGCAGGGTGTAAACTGACGGCAGACCTGCTCTAGAAAGGAATTCTGTGTCTGGCACCTTATCCTGCCACCGGATCCTCAGAAGTCTGCGGAGGCAAATCGTGTGGAAGTGGTTCAGTTGCCTAGCGTGCCTCCTGTATACAGTCCAAGTCTCACTGGCGTACATCAGGGTAGTTAACACTACTGCTCAATAGACTTTAAGCTTTGTAGCAAGGCTTATTCCACGGCGGTCCCACACTTTGGTCAACAGTCTGCCGAACGCAGAGCTTGCCTTGGCGACTCTGCAGTTGACCTCGATGTCAATTGTCACTGAGCGGGAGAGGGTGCTGCCAAGATATGTAAATTGGTCCACTGCTTGCAGCTTTTGTCCCTTCACTGTGATGGTGGGCACTTGATGCTGAGCTTTTGGAGCTGGCTGGTGCATCACTTCGGTTTTCTTTGTGTTGATGAGAAGGCCGAAGTTGTCGCATGCTGCTGCAAATTTGTCCATGCTGGCTTGCATTTCCTGCTCTGATCCAGCATTCAGGGCGCAGTCATCAGCAAAAAGGAGATCTCGTAACACAGTCTCTTTTATCTTGGTGACAGCCTGGAGTCTTCGCAGGTTAAACAATTTCCCATCGGTCCTGTATCTCAGTCTGATTCCCAAGGAACTGTTCTGAAAGGCGTCTGACAGCATGGCTGAAAACATTATGCTGAACAGGGTCGGTGCCAGCACACACCCTTGCTTGACGCCGTTTGTGACGGGAAAGGCCTCTGAAGCTTCTCCATCATCCAAAACACGAGCCGTCATGCCGTCGTGGAACTGACGTACCATCAAGATGAATCTGTCAGGGCACCCAAACTTCGACATGATGCGCCACAGACCTTCGCGACTGACAGTGTCAAAAGCCTTGGTGAGATCCACGAAGGTGGTGTACAGTTCACGATTCTGCTCTTGACACTTCTCTTGAAGCTGTCGGGCTGCGAAGATCATATCCACCGTGCCACGCTCTTTGCGGAAGCCGCACTGTGTCTCGGGTAATAAACCCTGTTCCAGGTGGTTAATCAGACGATTCAGCAACACTCGTGCAAGGATCTTACCTGCGATGGAAAGCAGTGATATTCCTCTATGATTATCGCAAACTTGTCGATTTCCTTTCCTCTTGTAGAGGTGTACGATAGACGCGTCTTTCAGTTCCTGAGGAATAGATCCTTGATTCCAGAAGGACTGGAACAGCTGAGTGAGTTTGTTGACAAGCACTGCACCACCACCCTTATAGACTTCCGCTGGAATCGCATCAGATCCTGGGGCCTTGCCACTGGACAGCTGGCTGATGGCCTGTAAGGTTTCAGTCTCTGATGGTGAGACATCCAGGCTGTGGTTGATATCCGCCTGGGGCATTCTATCAATCGCCTCGTTATTGATGGAAGATGGGCGGTTCAGTACGGATTGGAAGTGCTCAGCCCAACGCTGTAAAATCAGAGCCTTCTCAGTAATGAGAGTTGCACCATCTGAGTCCAGTAGAGGGGAACTCCCTGAGGGCTGAGGTCCATACAAGGATCTAAGGGCTTCGTAGAACCGTTTGGCATCGTTTCTATCAGAAAACTTCTGGATTTCATCTGCTTTGGCACTCAACCAGGAGTCCTGCATCTTACGAAGCTTGTTCTGTACGATCCTGCGAATGTTGTTGAAGGCATTTTTCTTAGCTGTTGACGATGGGTCATTCTGGTGAGCACGGTGAAGGCGATGCTTTTCAGCAAGTATGGCCTTGATCTCTTCATCGTTTTCATCAAACCAGTCCTGCTGTTTCCTGTGTGAGGGTCCAAGAACCTTTAGTGCAGAAGAGTGCACAATATCCCGGAAGCGTTCCCAGTCCTTCTCAGCATTTTCCTCTAATTGCAGCTCTAAAAGTTGGTTGCCAAGATCTTCTGCTAGTAAAGTTGCTGTGTTGGGGTTCCTCAGTCTACTGACATTGATCTTTTTCATCACAGCTTTGTTTCCCTGCGGACGTCTCTTTGGCTTGATGCGAAAGCTTAATTTGGAGATGATAAGTCTGTGGTCAGTCCAACAGTCAGCACTCGGCATGGCCTTGGTCACCCTTACATCCTGTCTGTCTTTCCTCCGCACAATGACATAATCAATGAGATGCCAGTGCTTAGAGCGTGGGTGCATCCAGGACGTCTTTTTGCGAGTGGGCAGGCGGAAGATGGTATTGGTGATGATCAAATCATGAGCCGCACATGTCTTCAGTAATAGTAGGCCATTGCTGTTACATTTACCGATTCCATTTTTTCCAATGACGCCATCCCAGGCAGTGTGATCAGATCCTACTCTCGCGTTGAAATCGCCAAGTAGAATCAGCCTGTCAGTGCGCTTCACGGATGAGAGTAGGGCATCGAGATCTTCATAAAACTTGTCCTTTACTTCATCCGGATTCGTCATTGTGGGCGCGTAAGCGCTGATCAGTGTGGCTTGCTTTCCTCTCGGTAGTGGAAGATGCAGTGTCATGAGTCGGTCATTCACGCCCTTGGGAAGACTGGCAAGTTTGCGGACAAGATGATTCTTAACCGCAAAGCCAACTCCAGATTCACGACGTTCGTCACTGCTGCGTCCACGCCAGAAGAATGTGTAACCACCTCCTGTTTCCATGAGCTGACCTTCATTTGCTAGACGAGTTTCACACAGTGCCGCAATATCGATGTTAAATCTTGTGAGCTCTCTGGCGACCAGGGCTGTTCTTCTTTCTGGGCGGTCTGCTGAAGGGTTGTCCTGAAGCGTGCGTACATTCCATGTGCCAATAGTGAGTGGTGTCACCTTGCATTTTGTTCGAAATTTTATTGTTCGACCGCATGAGATGGGATCCCCTCCAGCCGCGGTAAGCTGGCCAGGGTTCTGTGAAGCAAACAATGTTTAGGGCACCTTTTCTAGCCCCTTCCTCTTACTACGGAGGTGAGCAGTGCAATCCTAAAGAGGGCTGCTCAGTCACTCAGGTAGACGCCGAATCCAGCTGTTGCTTCCACCAGCAAGAAGACGACCATTAGACCTGAGCCGCCTGTGTGCAGGTCCGCGGCTACAGCTCCCAGTGTATCCACACCTGCTGCTTCGTCGCTCGCCCGTCGCCACAGGACTTAGGAGATGTCGAGATGTCAAGACTTGCGCGTGAATTGGATTAAAGTGAGGGAGAGGTGCGCATAGTCAGCCTCACTCTCTCTTCCCAGATTCCATCTTACTCCAATGGCAGGACTAAAGTCGAGACGGTTGGAGATGGGCTGGGCGCAGTGGTTGACCAGGGCATCTTTCATGTCTTGCCGTGCTCTTAGCGTACCACATCGCTTGCAGAAACCACCTTCATGACCGTTGGTCCTATTCTAGTAGGTCTCATCCGCTCGATCCGCCGGAGTCTGTCTTCACATGCTCGGGATAGACAAGTCCCTATCTCACCGAAGGTCGATGACCCGACGGCTACTCTCAACCTGGTTTAGCCAGCCTGTCGAAGCTGTTGCCCGGGGTGTGGCCGCTGCACATGCTACAGCTACTAGGAGCCACAGGTGAGAGTTGAGTGACAAGTGGGGACCAAAGGTGGACGAGCTGCCCTAAAAGGACACGACATGCCCGTACATCAGAGGTGCTACCCCTCCCTGAACACCCCATAAACCCCTACTTCTTACTTGTGTTTACAATACGGTAAGGGACATCCCTCTTTGGAGTCATCAGGATCCCATTAGTGCCTCTAGCCATAAGAATATAGGGATGAAAAACAGGAACTGGAACCAGCCCCTGAGTTTGGAGACTCTCCTTTGATCTATTATGAGCAACAGCAGCGCTAAGGGACATGACAATTTCAGACCCCCCTGGAGACAATGTCTGTATTCCTTATTGGTAGTTTTGGTAGTGTTTTTATTAAAAGATTCTAATTATAATGATTTCTCTTTGTTTCAGTTGTTTGAAAAGCTTCAAATACCCCTTATTAATAGCACAGCTTGATCAGCTGCATGAAGACATTGAAGAAGATCCCTTAAGACATTTTGCAGCTGAAATTCTAGTAAGTATAGCTAAAAGGAATGATAGTGACTTGCAAAATCAGTCACTACAATGCAGTATTCAGTTGAGTCAGGGAAATTATTTGACTGCATGATTTGATTAGTTAGATGTGTGATGGGTTTGGTCACAGCGATCCTTTTGATACTGTCATTTGATGTGCTGAAATACCACTGAGCAAACATCAGACCTTACCCTAACAGTAGCTCTTATCTTTTTTCACAAGCTGGAAAGCCTCCCAGCCTATGCTTGATCCTTCCCCCTGTCTGTCTTAGCTGCTTCCAGCAATCATCTTGGGTAGTAAGCAGAGGTGTCCTGTCATCTGGCAGCAGTTCCCTGTTTGGCTTCCCACTTTTCTATTGCCCAAGGGTGGGAATCCTTTGTGTTCAATTTAAACTTTTTGTCACCTTCAGTGGAAAAGTATAGGGACCAAGATGGGTCCCAGAATCAGGTGACTTAAACACAAGTCTTTCTGGGGACTCTCAGCCCTTTCTACTGACAGTTCCATAGGAAAAACAAAACCACTTACAGATCCTTGCCCTTATCCACACGTCATAAAGTTTCTTAAATGGTTTTCACTTAGCACGTCTATATTAGTACAACAAGTTTATACTTCATATTTCTAACTTCAAATACAGGAATGATACAGGCACAGAAATAGAATATCCACATTCAGCAGATTACAACTTTTCAAATTATACTTTACAGGAAATATATTTTCCAGGTATGCACACTCATAAGCATATTTCCAAAAAGAATTATGGATAGCCCCATGAAAAACATGGTTTATGATATTCTATAGGCTAGTGCTAAGGAAGGTAAAATCTTGGAACAATATCAGATCCCTAGATCAATGAACCTTGCATTTAATAAACCAAATTCAGCCTTCATGGTATATCTTTGGGCTGCTGGTCTCTGAATTATCAGAGGCCCTTTTTCTTCTGCAACTGGTCCCATCCCCTAGTGATGTTCAAGACTTCTAAAAGATGATAATTAGGTGAAGTTCCTACATGACCGAAACTCATAACATTCCATATTTTCTTTGTTTGTTTTTTTAAACAAGTTTGTCCCTCTGTTTAGTGCGACTTGCCTTTTTAAATAAAAGTGGGTAGGGCTGCACTTTAAAAATCCAAGTGTATCACATTTTGGATAAAATGAAGAGTGTCTTCTATTCAGTACACCTAGTTAAGCATAATATTAACATTAAACCTGTGCTTCAGTACCGGCGATTTCAGTTGTTCTTAAACACATGGATTAGCCATGTCCTGATGTGAGACCTATGAACTAGAGCCCTGCAATTGAATTGGGATCCCATAGCAGGTCCTCTTCTAATAGCATGAGGGAATGGGAATAAGTGTGTTAGGTCAAGACCCCCTTGGGACTGTCACCTGACTGTCACCTGCTGAGACACCACTGAGCCTGCTACTCCGCGTCTACATAAGCCGCCCCTTATTTCAAAGCATTTTTTGAAATAACGGGTGCGCTGTTTCGGCATCTCGGTAACCCTCGTTGAGCACAAGATGATACCCTTTCCCTCCAAAGAGTTATAAAAGTATTGTGTACAGGAGAACTTTTAATGTGAGATTCTCTTAATTTTTTCATTGTATTTTATTAAGGGATGTCTTGAAATAGCACATTGTTTCAAAATTTGGCACTGGGTAGATGTGCTAAATTTCAAAATAAGCTATTTCAAAATAGATTTGAAATAAGATATGCAATTTGCATAGTGCAAATTGCATATCTTATTTCAAGTTTAGGGTGCTGCGTAGCTCGCAACCTAAGGCTATTTCTACACAGCAGCATTATTTTGGAATAACTGATATTCCAAAATAACATAGTCCATGTCTATGCAGCAAGCAGTTATTTTGACAATGTCAAAATAATGTTGAGCTGGAGGACTTCTTACTCTGACTCCTGTAATCCTCATTTTACTAGGAGTAAGTGAAGTTGGAGGAAAAGTGCTATAACTCAGACTTCCTGCTGTGTAGACAGCACCAAAAGCGGAAATAAGACATTTCAACTTAAGCTACTTAGTTGACATAGCTCATGTTTCACAGCTTATTTCAGCTTTAGCCCTGCTGTGTAGACATGCCCTAAATGAGCAAAAATTTGTGGAGAAAAAAAGCGTGTAATTAAATACAATATCATAGCTGCCAAATAAAGGTTGCATAGGCAATGTTAATTTAGACATTACCTAATATTTGAGTGCTTGACTATGCCAGCTTAATAATTTCTTAAATATTGTTTTGTGTGTAATTATACACTTAATTACAAAAATATTTTCAGGAATAATTGTATCTGTGGTAGGTAGAGATTTTATGGTTTACATTTTAAAATGTGAATCCTGATTTAAAACTTAATAGCTGCTTTATTACAGGAAAAATACATATGTATAGTTGACTTTTTTTTTTCTAAACAGGGCATTTTAATCGATATAGGAGAGTTGATACCAACCATGTTCTCATACCGTGGAAGCAGAAGTCAGAACTGGGATAATCAGGATTTTTTGAATGAAGATAGAAAGCATTCTGCAGATTCTTTGGCATGTCTGTCGTATCTGGTGTTTGTTCAGTGTATTGGTATTGATTGTTTTCCAATGGTCTTTAGGTAAGAGCTATTTTCCATCCATTTATAATTAGTAGCTCTTTGAGCTTCTTCAAAAGTATTATCAGGAGCAGTAAGAAAGCATTTTAATATTAATCACTATTCTGTAAGCCTTTGTGTTGCATTAGCATTCATTTTAGGGCAACTGCCTTGTAATATATGGAATGTGTGAAGAGGTGTCTTCTCTTCTAGGCCCCAATTCTGCAGATACTTAAGTGTGTACTTCAATTTAGACACAAGTAGTCCCACAGAAGGTGCCATGGGACTACCTATATGTTTAAAATTAAGCATGTAAGTGTTGCAGGATTGAGACCTTAGTGTGGTGATAAACAAGTGTGCGAGGGTTAAGGAAGACAATCTGACTTTTAGTGCATATCTATTTCAAAGGAATTCATTTAAAGTAAAATTTCTCTTATTTATATGAAAGTTTTTATTCCTATGTATAGTTCCACGGAGCTTATTTTATATCAACATGTAGGCTGTGTGGTCTATGTAGTTGTATTTATAAATAACTTTTCTGTTTTAGTCCATCATATCTTCTACAGTGCAACATGACACACATTGAGCTCCTATTGAAAAGGTAAGATCTTACAAAATTTGACATTTCAGATTCTGGTTTTTTTTCTTCGTCTGGCTTAATTGTCCCACAGTTGCTTTCTGTTCTGTGGTAGTAATTTATGAAATCAAACTTTAAATTCACAATTCAAATTGTGGGGAAAAGTCTTTTGAGGCTGAAAGTTAATATGACATGGTTCAGCATAAGATGATGCCCCTTCCCCTCCAAAGAGCTATAAAAGTAAAAGTGCAGGAGAACTTTTTATGTGAGATTCTCTTAAATTTTTCAAATGTGTTTTTATTATATTAATTTTACAGTTGTGTTTTATTCATTTATGGAAACCCAAACTATAAAATATTTTAAACATTCCAGTTTTCTGAATTAGAATATGTAGTACAGATTGAACCTTTATAGACCGACACCCGCTGGGCCTGTCTGGTGCCGAACCAGAGAATTTGCTGAACCACAGGAGGTCAATATTGTCTAGCAGCATTACCAATACTTCCACTGCTTCCTGAGCTCTTAGAAGTCCTTTAGTGGTAAATTAGAGCTAAATAACAGCATAGAACACTGAGAGGCAGGACTGGTGGTTGTAAACAAGCTTTATGGGCTCACAGAAACTTGGCCATATCCACTGTAAGCAGACATCTGTCTAACTAAAATCATGTCAGATCATGGATGTTGCTGGATGAGAGCGTGCCAGACTAGAGATGTTCAATCTTTAATACTTCTGTAACTAAAATTACACATTTGAAAATGAAGGAGGTTGCCATGACCCTATCCCATGATGGTATGCTATCTTCATTTGTGTTATGGCCCTCAATATATAGAACATTAGACCTACTTAAGAGTTGTAGTCATTTGCTCCCTTATTATTTGCAGACTACAAAGAATAAGTCCAAGTACTAATGTAAAAGCATGAATGTTTCATAGATCATCAAGTAAGATGAAAACCGCACTGTACCTTGCTACCACTTGGCCTAAACTCTTCAATCTCTCTTTCACACATTTTGGGGAAAACTTAGAGTTCTGCAATTGGGAAAGCACCATTTTCTTCCTCTTAATACCAAGGCATCTGACAGACTTCAGCTCTTGCATTTGAATGCTTGTAAATAGAAAATGGGAATATTAACTCTTGATCACAAAAGCAGTCAAATCTATAAACTCTTCTGCTCATATAGTTAAATAATTCATAAGAGAGAATGAAGGAAGCAGAATAGGAACGGTCAGTAGCCAGATTCCTTTACTACTTAGTTAATTCTTACACTTCAGCAAACATTTTGGAATTGATGCTTCGATAATTTTCTTAATTTCTTGTAGGACAGAAGAATCTGTGTTAACTAAAGGACTTGTAAGTTTCCTTTTTTTTAAATAAAAACATTTAACACTGTACTGTAACAGATTTCAAAGAAGTGTCAATTTTCCTTGGCTGGAAAAGATGAGGATAATATTGCATAATATAAATATAGAGTTATTGAGGCTTAAGTAAGCCCCAATCCTGAAAGCATTTTACATATTTATTTAAATTTATGCATACAGTCTTAACTAAATGCATACATGTTTGCAGCCTTTGTGAAGTGATTTGAGGAAATTGAACTAATGGGCTGTACAAGTACAAAATTACATTGTCTTTAAAATTATTTTTTATTGATTGTAGGACCTGCTTGAAAACTCATTATTGAGAATGGAAGATGATAGCCTTCACCATCAGTATTTGGAATTCAAAGGCTTCATTACAGCACCTCAGGTACTAGGATGCAATGTAAACTAGTTTTTTTTTAAACTTACAGTGTCATATCTAACTGCTCACTAGGTGGTTTGAGAGAGAAGAATTTAGAGAATACAAATATTGCCTCACACAGAAATTTAATTGCTTTTGAAACCATTCAGTGTCTTGCTATTAAGAATCGTTAGCTGGAACAGAGAGCCTGCAATGGTTACCCTCCTGGGAAGCAAACTTTATCACCCCCCTTCTTTACCACCAAGCAAGATTCTCATATCCTATTGCCATCCAATAGCAGTAGTGGTGGGCAGGACAAACCAGAGATTGGATTTAGGTGCAACATGTGACTCTCATGTCCCTGTACCTTCCCCCTACCCTGCAGACTGGGGAAAAGGAAAGGAAAAGAAGAGTTAAACAACAACTTTCAACTGCCAAGTGGGTAATGAAGGAGGATATATAAAACACTGCCTCATCCCAGCTAGTTGGGTGAACACTGTTAATGCAATTGTGCAGTGACATTTTTGTATATAAAATGTTGGTGATGAATTTGGATTTCTGCATCTTAATTTACTATATGTTTGTCAAGGATCACAATCAAGACATATGCCCTTGTGTCTGAAATTTATGCTTTTTAAACATTTAACTTGAAATATTTTAAAAATTTAAAAATAATTTTATGCCAGAGGAGTGCTAGAAGTCAACTCTAACAGTTTGCTACTCTCTAAATAAAATATGTATTTCCTTCAGTTTTAAACCTGTGACCCATAGTTCAATAGATACTCCATTTCAGATATGGCAATCTTAAATTAAAATGATTCATGGCTAGTTTAAAAACAACATTACCATTTCTTAAGTCTTCTCTCAATCTCAGTTGTCATTCTCATCAAACAGGAATCTAAGCCCTATTGGTTGCATTTTTATATACCGTATTTTCCGGCGTATAGGGCGACTGGGCATATAAGACGACCCCCTATCTTTTTAATTAAAAGATAGGGTTTCATCTTATACGCCAGCGCCCCTCCGCCTCCTTTGCTCCCGGTGTCCCTGGTCTGCTGGAGATGGTCCCCAGCAGACCAGAGGCACCGGG